TGTGTGGTGGCCAAAGACACTGAGGTTGGACAGGGTGCCCACGTGGTTTTGGTTTGGAGAGGCTACTTGGAGGTGCTGCTCTTTTTTTCCCCTCCTCATATGGTCAGGCTAACTCATGTCTTGGTTGTAGGAATTGGCTCAGATGCAGACAATCAGCCGGGACCTGTCCGTGGTGGTGTCCATGGACAACAACCGTCACCTGGATCTGGACAGCATCATCGAGGAGGTCCGGCGACGAGCAGATTGCTCAGAGCAGCAGAGCTGAAGCTGAGGCTTGGTACCAGAGCCGGGTGAGTTGGGAAGAAGTCAAGGCACTTGGGACAAATCGCTGCCTCCCTCGCCACAGGGCATGGGAACCACCTGAGTTCTGGATAGGTTGTGTCACTGATGGGTTGCTTTGTCTCCATGCTGTCAGTATGAAGAGCTGCAGAGCACTGCTGGAAGGCATGGGGACAGCCTCCGCAACACCAAGATAGAGATCCAAGAGTTGACCAGGAACATCCAGAGGCTGCGGGCTGAGATTGAGAACGTGAAGAAGCAGGTAGGGGTTCCTCAGCATTTTGTTGGGTAATGGGTCACACCTGAGCTGGGTGGTGAGCTAAGGATAGTGGGTGGGCAATGTATTGATTGAACTTCAGGTCCTTTGGAGGAGATTGGTGGCTCCTCTCAATTTTCCACCCAGTTTCCACCCAGGTTGTGCAGAAGGGAACTGAGAAACTGCTCTTCTTTTTCTCAGAACCATCAGCTGCAGTCAGCCATTGCCGAGGCCGAGGAACGGGGTGAGATGGCCCTCAAGGATGCCAGAAGGAAACTGGAAGAGCTGGAGTGTGCCCTGAGCAAAGACAAGGAGGAGCTGGCTCGCTTGCTGAAGGGGTACCAGGAGCTGCTGCACATAAGACAAGGAGGAGCTGGCTCGCTTGCTGAAGGAGTACCAGGAGCTGCTGAACATCAAGATTGCCCTGGACGTTGAGATTGCCATGTACAGGAAGCTGCTGGAGGGAGAGGAGAACAGGTGAGACCCGCTGTCAGGTTGGCCTGACCAAAGTACTGTGTCTCCTTGGGATAGACTTAGGTTTTATCATCTCTCACAACCCATTTAATGTTGGAATCTGATTGACTTCCATTTTTCTGCCCAAGTTTTTAAGCCCAAAATAGAAACGAGGTCCCCACCAGGCATATTTCTCAGTGGTTTTGATTGATGTTAAATGAAACAAGAAATAAAAGGAATACTTGGGAAATTGCATGGCGCTCAATTGCCTTCTACGATATTAGATTTACAACTTGTGTTCCTTTAAAAAAGGAGACAACCCATCCAACGTAAATGTCTGTAAGTATCTGTTCATCGTCCTCTCTGCAGAATGGCTTTTACCCTGGGTTTTCTGAGGATTCCTGGGCTGTCACTTGACGTACAGTGAGCCTGTCCTTCTCTTGCAGCTGTGGTAGGCAGAACCACCATTGCTGGAGGCAGAGCCGGTGGCTTTGGAGCCAGCAGTGGCATGGGAGGAGGAGTATGTGCAGTCGGAGGAGGAAGCATCGTTGGAGGCAGTTGTGGCATAGGAGGAGGAATACTCAGCGGTGGCTTCTCTTCTGGAAGTGGAAGAATGTGCAGCTCTGGAGGTGGCAACTTCGTCTCAGGGGGTGGATCCTCCTCTGTGCGGAGATGTGTCACCACCACAACGGTCAAATCTTCAGGTGTAAAATACTGAGCCCTGACCTCAGTCCCTCCAAGGAAAGAAGCATCTTTTCCTTTCTCCAGCCAGCAGCACAGCCCCTTCCATCCTGAACCACTATCCAGCAAAGAAATGAACTGTTTCCCTCCTGAAATCATCCCACCCAAGGGGAGATTTGCAGCAAAACAACATCCTGTTGGCCGAGCCTGGCTCCTCTCTGAGCTCCACCAGTCTCCAGGGATGAAACATCTCCCTGGTGGGCACCAGGGTCTGCAGAGCTCATCCGAGCATCTTCCGCTGCGTTTCTCGCTGCTACCCCTGGCTGCTGCGCTGGCTGAGGAGGAGCGTGTATAAAACTGCTCTTTCCTTTCACTTTTTAAGGTCTCTTTTTCAATGGCCATGTTTCTCTTGCATGTCCTGCATGTTACCCACGTGCTTGTTTCAGCTATATCAGGAATTCACATAGGCAGAAGAAACGTGATAATGTCTCATAGTCAGATTTAGGAGTGAAAAAAAGGTTTCTGGAGATGTCCACCTTCCCTCGGTGGAGTAATTTGGCAGCTTTAATATTTTATAGATTCCTTTCCCTTTTCTCCTTCATATCTGACATATGTATGGCCTTATTGCAAACCTTCTGTTGCATGAACCCTACTGCATGGTTGCTTTCTACCAGCACCCCTTTCCTCCAAGTTCTTTCACTACCAATAAACCGCAGACAGATGAAAAAATATCTTTGTGTCGTCTTATCAATTAATGGTCAGCAGGGGAGGCAAAAACACGTTTTGTTCTTCACTGTGAGGAATGGCAATGCCCACGGTGCTCTGTCCTATGGTGCAAATCACTGAGCACTATGAACTGCCCAGCTGGGGTGAGGAGGAGGAAGATGGTCCTTCTCTCTCCTCTTAGGACGTGCCACCTTGCTCCTCTACAGTAGACTCCACATGTCTCTGCGGGGTGGGAGAGCCATGGCTGTGAGGAGTGTGGCACAGGAAGGGAATACACGATGCGAACCTGGTGGCCATGAGGTGGGGGGATTGTGCTCATCCCAAGTGTAGCAGGATGAAGCGTCCAGCTCTCAGTTGATGGGCACCTCAGGAGCAAGGCAGGCAGGGCCACCAGCAGGGACATTGTGGTTGGGACATGGCAATGAATGGTGGCAGGTGATACGTGGTGGTCTGGATGTGATGGTTTGAACATGGTGGTTTGAACAGGACAGTTGTGGCAGTTGGACTGGTGTGGTTTGACCACTGCCATTGGGATGTGGCAGTTTGAACATGGCCATTGGGATGTGGCAGTTTGAACATGGCCATTGGGATGTGGCAGGTAGCGCCAGGACTCAGCACAGCTGTCATCCCAAGAGGACACACAGCCAACCCATCACCACCATGCTGTGGCTCAGTCCTGATGGCGCCTGGAGCTCCCACCCAGGCACCCTGGAGGCCACGATGGGGGAGGACACCAGTGACAGGTCTGCAGCGGGTGGTTAATGCTCTGATGAAGAGTGGTTGTCCTCCACCTTTGGCTGGCACAAGGGCAAGCAGCTCCATCTATCTGACGAGCAGGGCTCTTACATGGGCACCGGCACCTCATATGTGAGTGATGGGAAGGCTGAAGATGCTCTGTGGACACAAATTACTCATGAAAAAAGGCAGCGTGAAAGTATGAGACAGAGCCTCAAACCTGCTATTATAACTCCAGATTGCCCAGCCAGGTTAGTCATTAACCCTCTCTAAATAACATCCCATTGCAACCAAATTAATTTGATTAATGCTTGGCTGTATTCTTCTCCGGCATTGGGAGGAGCGAGAGCCAGAACGGTAGGTGAATCAACCCTGACTGTACTGTAGCGTGCGCGTTATCCTGGTGCTGTCTCGGTGTTTGTCAGATAGAAGTATGGAAATGGAGAAGATTTGTATTGCAGAGTCCTTGCCATCTAAGTGAACCAAACAAATGAGGAAGAAATGGTATTTCTTATTTGAACTAGTGTTACTTTCATGCCACTTTTTTTATTTTCCCCCAAATATTCTCTCAGTCCACGCACCTGATTTCTTAATCTGATGTTTATACCAGGCTATAATACGCCTTATTCTTTTGTTTGAATAAACAGTGACATTTCTGATCATAAAATTTATAGGTTGGGATGGGAGAGACCAAGAAGCCATCTCCTACTTCCTCATCCCAGCGAAGAATCCGAGGACAGGCACAGACCAAGACGGTGCAAAGCCCTAGAGCATCCCTGGGGACTTCCTTGGGAGGACGGCAGAGGGGGTGACGATCTCCAGGGTGTTGAAACCCAGGAAGCCAAAGCTGCAGGCTTCGTCCTGCAGAAAACCGCAGGCTTTTTATAAGTTCCCTGAGTTTTTCCTGGAGAGGGGCCAGGCAATAACACGGAGGTACTGGAGTTTATCTTTCCCATCTGCTGTGCTCATGAAAAAGGGAGTAATGCTAATTGCTCAAGGACATCGTGCTTGAATGAAAGATCGTAACAGCCCAGTGACTGGGCTTCGTTTCGTTCGCTCCATGGGGCACAGTGCTAGCTGCCAGCCCTAGTGTGAAAGTAGATCCATATTTGCAGCAACGGGGCTTGTTTTGCTTAAAACGAGTGAATTTACTTGTCGAACAGCCTCAGTGTGATCAAACAATGATAATTCCTCCGTACTTTTTGGTAGAGCTGTTGCTATTTTGGACATAGAGGATAAAAAAGACAGAATAAATATATTTTTTTGTTGGTTTGTTAAGTTCTGGTTTTCTACAGAGAAAGACATGTGCTGTCTGTGCTAATACAAGATCTGCGTAGGTGCTCGCGAGAGCCTGCCTGCATTTTCAGATCATTTGTGGCTGGAAAAGATTGGAGTTCAAAGTGAGATGGCAAACACCTTGCTCCTAGGGTTTACCACTGAGTCTCCACCACTCCGTCCGAGTGACATGGGGTTATGAGACATGGGGTCTGGGACTGCTGGCCTCTCCAGTCACCAGCTGGTTTAGTGCAAGACCACTGGTGGCTAGATGCCCTGCGGCTCAGAGGACAGTTAGGTCTGAGCTGGTGGGACTCAGAGCATTCTTCCTTGCACCAAGCATTGCTGAGGTGGAACAGAAAGGAGACCTCATCCTCAACAAAGCCAAAAGCAAACTGGATGAACACTGCAGAGCCCTCAGTGGAGCCAAAGAAGAGTTTGGCCAGGCACTGAAGGACTTGTTGAGTGTGAAGGTAGCCCTGGACGTTGAGGTTCCCATGTGCAGGAAGCTGCTGGAAGGAGAGGAGAGCAGGTAGATGTCTATCATAGAACCTGGTTCAAGGTGTGCATGGTGCAATATTCTTTGCATTAGAACATGGAAAGAAATATAATAGGTGCAATATTTTATGAGCTTATTGGGGAATGAATCCAGGTGGCATTATATTGGCTGTAATTAGAGCTGTAATGAGTTTTTAATTGTTACTAATCATGTTTATTATGGGAGGGCCTCAGAAGCTTCCAAGATTGCTTCCCTTGGGTTGGTCACTGTGCAAATATGGAGGAGACTCACCCACTTTGTAGTTGTATTGGATATGACAGTGACCAGCTGGTAAGCAGGAAACATTTGCTTTTAGGAGTGGCATTGCTTTGTGGGAAGGATGGGAACATTATCACCTGAGAGGTAATCTGCCTCTGCATCCTCGATACTGTTATTTACGTGGCACATACCTCCTCAGCAGCTGGAGTCCTTCAGGATCCTGAAGGATGAGATGTTCAGGGCAATGGAACCTACTCCGGCTTGGATGCTGGTGCTTCTCTGCCCTTCATCTTGCTTCCACACTTACTAGCTCTGCCCTAAGAGTGGGCTGATACTCCTTTACATTTACACTCATGACCCCACAATTCACGTTTTCTGACCAGCTTTATTGCTGGTGCCCATCAGGCCTAGGTGAAAGTCTGCCTGGCGTGGCATGGCATGGCATGGCATGGCATGGCATGGCATGACACCATCCATTCTTAACTAGAAGTATGGGTTGCCATCCATTCTTAACTAGAAGTATGGGTTGAAGCAAGTCTACATCTCCCATAGCCTGGGGACCAGGGCTTGCTGGGCAGACATGATGATGATAGGGTAGACACAGCCACAAAGTGCCACTAGAGGGCTGTGCAAGGGACACTGCCCCGTTCTCACACGCACCCAAACCTGCTGTTGTCCTCCAGGTTGATGACAAATTGACTTTCCCATAAATTATCGGTCGTGCGGAGATGGGAATTTCAGGTTATGTAGAAAACCACTACTTAAAGGAAGGACCAGCTCCATTCCTAGTGCAGTCACCGGTCACAAGTGACAGTCTGATGAAAGATGAAAGTGGTGTGTTGCGTTTGCCAATAACCATGTTTGTGGCAGATCTGTCCAAGCTGCAGGTCCTCTGCCTTGCTGGATCTTTACAGGGTTTTGTATGGGGCCAGAATCAACTGAAACAGGAACCAATCCTTGTCTTAAACTTGGACGGTCACTTCATGCAGGTCATGGAGGTCCTCAGACCACTCTCCCTTCCTTCTCCCCCACAAAACTACTCTCCGAAATCCCTAGAATAAACTTTCTAAATTTTTTTTTGTGCCTCCACAGGTGTTTGAAATGTGCTGGAGTAAAGGCTGGGCTGGCAGCCAGGGAACCAAGCCCTTCAGCTGGCTTGCATTGCTTTCTTTTCACCCCTCCGACCAAGCCCAGTTCCTTGCAGACATATAAAGAGGAAATACACTGATCCTCTGTTAGAAGGTCTGTTTTTGTGCTACAGCCTTGTCTGTTTGAAGTAAAGCAGCTGAAAAAGAACAAGGTGTTATCATACCTGCTAGCAGCACAGCCTGCTTGTAAAACTTTTGGGCTGAGAAAGAAATGGCTTCTGTGGCTTTGCAGTAGAAGTGTCTCCAGATATGTTGGGAATAGAGGTGTTTCCTACAGGTTGGAAGTTCTCAGCTGGGAGGGTGCTATGATGCTGAGTGGTCTTAAGGTCATGTGGCAAATCTCTTGGGTGAAATTGGGTTGTTTGGTGGAAAAAGATATGCTAGCTCCCCTCCATC